AGGCTTTTAGTTGAAACATTAGTTTGAAACATTTGTAATGAAAGATGAGATTACTATTTTAAGCTAGATTAAAAACGGATCCTTTGGAGCTGGAGTTACAGCTGGTTGTGAGCCACCATGCGGGTGCTATAAACCAAACCCAAGTCCTCTGAAAGAACAGCCTGTGCTTTTAACTGATGATCCATCTCTCCAGTCCCTGATTTGTCTATTTAGATTTTTTTTTTTAGATCTATTTTATGTATATAAGTGTTTTGGCTGCATGTATGTCTGTTCACCACATATATGACTCATGCCTGAGGAGGTCAGAGTAAGGTGTCAGATCCCTTGGAACTGGAGGTATAGATGGTTGTGAGCTATCATGTGTACGCTGGAAACTGAATTCAGGTCCTCTGCACGGGCATCAAGTGCTCTTCTCCACTGGGCTATCTCTCCAGCCTCAATTTTTAAAAAGGATCATAATGAGTACAAGCCTTGTGCTCTAACTCTCTAGCTACTGGGTGCAAATTAACAGAGACCTAACAATGCACAAAAGAAAGGAAGCCCCAGCAGTGTGGCTGTATGATACAACGCAACACTCAGGCCAGTAGGGGGCAACCCTGCGCCTTGCTGCACTTGCACTGTGAGAGCTCAACACCAATTTCTAGAGCTTCATTAGAGTCCAGGTGACTACTGGGAAGTGTGGTTAAGATTCTTACTCTTTCAGCTAGAGATGAGCGTAACAGAGCTGCGCATGCGTAATTACAGAGGCAATGGTATAGTTGCGGGGTCTGTCCTATTATCTCCAGAGTTTAGTCCTTATTTGGTTTGTCAGTAATATTTGACTGGCTCCCTTCATGTTTTTATATATCTAATTAAAATGTTATTGCATAGTGGATAGATTAAACTGCATGCAATTAAGCTGAGCACCACAACCAATTAAGATGGAATGTCACACAAACTGATGCTTTGCTGCACAATAAAACTCATTTAGTTATTTTATTATTTATAAACAAATGTCGGACACTTGATTTATAGTATATTTGAAAACTAGAGTTTGGTTTTTTTTGTTTTGTTTTGTTTTTTTAAATATCCATTTCAAGCAGGTCCATTCTCTGTAGTCATTAAAAAACTATTTACATTTCCTTTGCATCTAAATAAAATCAAAGCGATCATCTCGTCAGAAAAACCAATTCTTAAACTTACAATGAAATTAATTCTGAATTGCTGTTTATCAAATAAATTACGAGGGATAACCCAGTGATTACCGTATCATCCACACAGGCACATATAATAAGCCCACACGCGCAGGTGCATGCGAAGGCCTGAGAAGGGCACTTGGGTTACAGGTGGTTGTGAGCTGCCGGGAACTTCCGGAACTTCCGTTCATCCTCTCCCGTGGAAGCATCATCTGGAGACGGTGTTAAGGACCTAGGCGCCTCTCCAGCCCTAAGCACTTCTTTAGACGTCTGGTTTTAAATTTTTCACACCTGAGGCAAAATACTTTTACATTCTGAAATTTAAAACCAGCAGTCATGCTTCAGATAAAAAAATACTTAACATCCACAGAAGCATCGCCACCGTTCAGGTGAACTGTATGAACTGCCAGCACCATTCGTTTTTGACCTACAAAATGGCGGTTATATATGGTTCCGTTCAGTGCATGTCAAGGGGGAAGTCCTGAGCCTTATTTATAAAACTATTTGCAGCGTGACACACAGAAAATCATGAGTAATGAAGAAAGAAGAAAAGGAAGCCAGAAGCCAGACATGCCTACATCACGAAGGTTCAAAGCCGCGTCTTTACACGTGCATCGTAAAGCCAACTTTCACGCATCCAGCATCTGTATACATGAGTCAACAGTACATCAGATCCTTCACACCCACTTGCACACAGGGATACAGACGCCAGATTTCAAAACACTGGCCAGAGACGTTATTTTTATTGTTTCTCATGTGGAAGTTGTTTTTTGTTTGGTTGGTTTTCTTGTTTTGTCTTTTTTTTTTTTAACCTTCATTAGTAACTTTTCTGGGTCATTTTTTTCTTTTTCTTTTTGTTTGTTTGTTTGTTTGGTTTGTCGAGACAGGGTTTCTCTGTGTAGCCCTGGCCCCTGGAACTCACTCTGTAGATCAGGCTAGCCTCGAACTCTCGAACTCAGAAATCCGCCTGCCTCTGCCTCCCAAGTGCTGGGATTAAAGGCCTGCGCCACCACTGCCCGGCTTTTCTTTTCTTTTTGTTTTTGTTTCAACTAGACAAAGGCTAGAGTTCTTTGGTAAGAGGCACACTCAAGTAAGAAAATGCCTCTATAAAACTGATTCAGGAGGGCTGCTATGGAAGTAGCTTGCTAGGCAGGAGTTTCTGAGTTATGTAAGAAGACAGGCTCACATCCACATGGAATGAGCCAGGAAGCTACATTCCCCTAAGGCCTCTGCTTTAATTCCTGCCTCAGGGTTCTCTCATAGATTTTCTTCCCCTCACCCCCACAGCTTCCCTTCATGATGGACTGTAAGCTAAAACAAACCCTTTCCTCAAATTGCTTTGGTCATGATATTAATCACAATAACTCTAAAATCTATCTATATAGAGATACAGAAAATACCAATTTGTTCTTGACACCTCACAGTTATTCTATAACTGTCTCTCTCACTCCAGCTATCTTGACAGTAAGCATACACGATCTCTTGCCAGCATGTTCCAGTCACTTCCTTCATGATCTCTTAGCCTAGAGGCTCTCAACTTTCCTAATGCTGTGACACTTTAATACAGTTCCTCATGTCGTAGCCAGCTTCAACCATAAAGTTATTTAACTGCTACTGCATAACTTTCAATTTGCTGCTGTTATGAATTGTAATGTAAATATCTGGTATGCAGGATATAGGACATGTGACCCCTGTAGGGGTCATGACCCATGCATTGAGAACCCCTGTGGGGTCACCATCCACATATTGAGACCTGCTGATAGCACCCTTTCTTTCTTCCCCTGCCTTCCCTTTGTCATTTGTTATCTAAATGCAGCCAGACGTACTTGGAAAGCACACTTCTGACCATGATCCTACTGTACTTCTAAAACCGCTTCAGTTCCTTCCCATTACACAAAAACCAACCCCTACCAAGCTCCTCATGGGCCCATACAGTATGGAATGACCTGTGCCAATGAAAAATACGTACATTAGAAGCTTTACCCACAGTGCCCCAGGGTGTGAGTTGTGTAATTATGGCAAGATGAGGTCTTTAGGGTGAACCCCAAGATGATATGACCAGTGTCCTTAAAAGAAAAGACTAGGATACAGGCTGGATCAGAGGGGATGCTTCCTGAAGACCCGAGAAGGCAGCCACCTATGATTCAACCAATGAGAAAGCTCTCAGAAGAAGCAAGCCCCATTGAAGCCCTCACTCTCAGAGTTCTAGCTGTCAGAAATGAGAGAGTTGAATTTTTGCTGTTGAAGTCACCCATACTGCATGACTTCAGGAGGGCAGCACAGGCAAACTGACACAACCCCCCCCCCTTTCTAGCCTGGACTCACTTTGTAACTCCTGTGTTCACTGTGCTCTAGCAAGGTTTCCTTTGGCTCTCGGACTATTTGTTCTCCTATTTGTCAAGGCCTTTGCGTATGTGAACACTCCACATACCCTAGAAGGCCCTCTGCCTATTTCCTGTTGGTCTGGTTAACTCGTTTGTACTTTAAAAATAGATTATTTAATGTGTATGAGTGTGTTGCTTGCATGTTTGTCTGGGCACCATATGCATGCAGTGCCCACCTAGGGTGTCAGATCCCCTGGAACTAGAGTTATGGATTCCTGTGAGGCACCACATGGGTGCTGGGATTTTAAGCCAAGTCCTCTGAAAGAGCAAGCAAGTGCTCTTAACCAGGAGTCATCCCTTCAGCCTCTCCCTCTTCTGGTGTCATTCAGCTTTCTCTCATTAAACTACTAGTGACTGAATGCTAACTCTATGCCTGCCAAGGTGCTGAGCATGCAATCGTGCTCCTGGCTTCAATGGACTTACAGATTCCCCTGAGTTAAATATCTTTATATTCTGAAGTATTTGTCTAAATAAAATTAGCATTTTCTGGGAGCAGCAATGTGTTTGCTGAGCATCTGTGTCTGAGTGCCCTTTGGAGGGCACTTATTGGTCATCTGATGTGGAAAATCATCTTATTTCTTATTGGTCATTTTATGTGGAAAATCATGCAAAACCAAAAAGATAGTGAACAACAAATATGACTTTGAACAACACTTTTGTTTTTCTTAATGGTGAGATTATGTCCAGTCAGTTGAAGTCCAACGTTTTCTAAGGTAAACAGCTGGTGCAACCTGACTACTAACTTAGCAGTTTGGATTCTGAGGTCACTGCTATCTGTATAAAGGTTGAAGGCCTTTGGGCGGCTGTCAGCTTAGCCTTGGAAGACCTTTCTTGATAATCTTTTCTTTTAAATTTAGATTTATTATTTTTATGTGTATGTGCCTGAATGAGTTTGCATGCACCACATGTGTACAGGAGGCCATAGGGACCAAAAGAAGGTGCGTGATTTCCTGTAACTGACGTTAGAGTCAGTTGTGAGATGCCATGCGAGTGCTGGGAATTGAACCTGGGTCCTCAGCAAGAACAAGTTTCAAAGACTCTGACTCCTTCTGACTTCCACTGCCCCAGGTGTGTTCATGGTAACCAGGTACACATGCAAAACCAAATGAATATGTAAATAAATGCTTTCCAAAAATCGAGTAATTCAGCTTCTTCCACACTCCACTCAAGTCTTAAAGCAAAGATTCTCTACACGCTTGACCTTCCAATTCAGTCCCCACCCCTCCATAACTGGCTTTCTGATTGAAGCCAGGTCCAAATCTATAACTGGTTCCAGATGGCAGCTCTCTAGAACACCCACTGTTTGTCTTGGGAATATGTTTTGGAAAACGTAAGACTACTGAATCAATGCACAGGAGATGAGATTGCCAAGTTTGGAAAGGGCAGGGACAGTCCTTGGCCTCACATCAATAAATGAGAAAACATTTCACAAAGCCCGAGGGAAGTAGAGGAGATCCATATGGGAAGAAGAAGAAAACAACACTGAACCCAGAAAGAATATAAGCAGCAGCAAGGGAGCTGGGGAGTGGAGTGTAGGCACAGTCACTGGAAAGACTGGGTCCTGACAGAGAGACAATTCTACTCCCTACCAAAATGAAGCTGCCGCTGCTGCTGCTGTGTTTGGGACTGACCCTAGTCTGTGACCATGCAGAAGAAGCTAGTTCCCTGAGAGAAAACTTTGATGTTCAAAAGGTAGGCTCAGCGAATAGTAACTTCTGACTCACAGAGTGCTTTGGGGAACTCTTGAATCCAAGGGGGTGCTTTGAGGGGATGGCTCTAGTGCCCCAATCTATGAGAAAAATGAATGGCTTCAGACCTTGTAGTAAGACCAGCTGTATGCTACTCCGATCTAACAATGTTTGGGGACCTCTGTTCTCACTGAGAGGCAGGGACAGTATGTTAAGTACTGTGACAACTGGTGTGAGATGTACTCCTGTGTATGCTCAGGCTCTGGCCCCTAGGCTGGAGTTCAAGTAGAAACATGTCCATGTGGTATCCCTGCCCCTTCTCTTTTAACCATTCGTTTGTCTATTACAGATTAATGGGGATTGGTATACTATTTCTGTGGCCTCTGACGAAAGAGAAAAGATAGAAGAAGATGGCAGCATGAGAGTTTTTGTGAAGGACATCCATGTCTTGGAGAATTCCTTAGCCTTTAAATTCCATACTATGTAAGTAAGGTGTTCTTAGCTGAGAAAGAGGAAATGAAAGCCTGGTATGATCTCATGCCTATACATACACACAGCGCTGGGGGAAGAGATGCCCCTGACAGCATGTACATCTGTACACACATATTGAGTCTGTATCCAAAACTAGAACGCTCCATGTGACATTGAACCAAGATCTCATAACCAGGGTGTTTTTTTTCTTTTTTTTTTTTTCCCAAACGTCAGAGACAAGAGTTGGTGACAGGAATTAATAATTCACTAGGGGTTTGATAGGTAAAGGTCAGAGACACTTCTGAAATCACATTAATGAGACAGCCTATCACAAGTTAAGATTACGTGATCATGAATGAAACTTTTCTTACTAGTCGTTAGCCAAAGAAATCCACCTGTTCTACTTGCATTTTCCTACAGTAAAGGCAGTAGTAATAATTCTCCTCCACGGATCTGGGAGCCACTTCTGGCAACATTAGCAAAGTGCTAATTTGAGGCAGATGGTTGATACCCTACATCAGTGGCTGAAGGGCAGGACTGGTAAAACCTGGAAGTAGTTGCAGTTGTAATAGGGATGTGAGGTGATTGTCATTTTCTTTTCTTTTTTTTTAATAATAATAGGCAAATTCATAATTCCTAAAGCATCAGATATGAATGCAATAACATAAATAAAGACCTGTTGCTAATTTTACAAAAATATTCAAAAGTTAAATGGAATCAGCAGCTGGAGATACATATAGAGTAGAAGGTAAAGAAGCCAGCCAGACCAAAGTCCCTTAAGCACCAACCTGTTCTGTTTTACAGTGTAAATAGAGAGTGCACTGAACTCTTTTTGGTTGCTAACAAAACAGAAAGGGCTGGTGAATATTCTGTCAACTGTAAGTATATAAAAGTCTATATATCTATCCACTAGAAGTTCAGTAAACCCTAATACCTTTATTGTGCATGGGTGCATGCCTGTGTGTGTGTGTGTGTGTGTTTTGCTGGGGATTGAACTCAGAAACTTGTACCTACTAGTCAAATGGGGGCCATCTAATAGCTAGCACCCCGTGGCAGGCAGGTGGGATAAGTACTGGGAGATGGAATCTGTCTGGTTCTGCCTGGTGTCTAGCACCGGTGCACATAGCTCAGGATGTAGCAGCAGATATTTGACACAGCAAGCTTACTAAACACAGATACAGGCTGCTTGAAGCTGCTGAGGAAGTAAGGTAACCCTCAGAGAGGATGAGGGAGTGGTGCTGCTGTGGCTGACTGCTCACTAGTGGCCATCCTCTGAGTCCCTTTTCTTAGAAGTTACTTCCTGAAGTCCAGAAAACTACAGACAGGGAGCCACAGACACTTCACCCATCTCTTCCAGGATATGTATTTTAACGTTTTAATGTTTGGGGTAGAACAGGTAAGGGATCTCCATTATTTCCTGTGGACAAACAAATTTCTGAGCTGTGTTGCATTTCCTCCACAGATGATGGACACAAGACATTTACTATACCTAGGACAGACTATGATATATATATTATATTTGATGTCGTTAATGCCAAGGATGAGGAAACCTTCCAGGTGATGCAGCTCCTTGGTAAAGTACTGTCACACAGACACAGATCTTGGGTGGGGGAAAAAAAGAGAAGGAAACTCTAGCTTTAATATGGTCTTCCCAACTTGATCCTGCCTCATTCTCACCTCCTGAAGAGGGATGCTCACCTTCATCATCCCTTGAGCATAGCTAATGGAAGCACTCTGAAATCTCTCAGTGTGCCAGAAGGATATTCCATGGATGCCAAATTCAGGATAGATAATACCTGTGCCTGTCAATCATGTTGCCAACCCTTTTCTCATCCTTAAAGAGGAGCCCCTCTCCCCGACTCAGATCTGTTGTCAATACATATGATACAGGTGCTACACTTGTTATTGATATTTTCACAGGCCGAGAACCAGATCTGAGTTCAGACATCAAGGAAAAGTTTGCAGATCTATGTGAGAAGCATGGAATCGTTAGGGAAAACATCATTGACCTAACCAACTCCAGTAAGTCAGGACTCATTTATTTTTCTCATCCTGAATATTCTATCATAGATGAAACAAACCTGAGGGATTGGCTACCAGCCCTGTGTTGAAAGTTGGAGAGGCATCTCGTTTCTCTTGGGGAAATAAAGTAGACCTGATATCTGAGCATGTTCTTGTTCTCACCCTACAGATCGCTGTCTCCAGGCCCGAGATTGAAGAGAGGCCTGAGCCTCAAGGTGGGTAATCTCCACTGAGAGCAAGGAGGGGGTGGGCATCGGCAAGGCCCTTCCAAAAGCATTAGTATTGTGCCCCCAAATTACAATAAAAATAATTTGATAAGAAATCTTTGAGAAGAGCTTGAAAATTGGCTTTGAATTATCTGGATTTAGGATCTAGTCCTGCTTTGAGCTTTGAAGTAAAGTGACCCAAGCCATTAGGCAAGAATAAGGAAGTGACTTTTACATAGTTTTTGTGTGGTCATGTAAAAAAAGGCTCAGTCATGTGTTAAATGTCATTAAGAATTAAAGTTTGAAATAGAGAGTAGCAGGATGTGAGTATAGCTGCTCTTCAGTGTCTGTGGTCCCCCTCCATCCCACTCCGGATAATAATATCTTCATGTAAACTCTGTATAACCTTGGCTTTGTACCCGGGAGTGGAGCGGCCTGATCTCCACTTCTCGTCCAGTCTGAAGAGAAGAATCCTCTGGCCCCTCTTTCCCATTTAGCTCAAACCTTCACTGATGAAATGTGTGAAAGTCTTTAAAAATAGCCAAGGCTTTTATCATTATTCCTCAATTTACTGAACATCTTTCAGAGCTTCTTATGGTGAAGGCTGTTGAAACAAGCCTCAGATCTTTTGTTACTTAATTTTTCATATGCCATCCATAAGGAAAGACCCATTTATTCTATGTCTTCATCCCTGTGTTCTGACAAATAATGTCAGTTATATTGCAGGGGAAGATGGATTCCTTCATCTTTTGTTCTATATAATAGACTGTCTATTTATCCTGAAGTCAAGTCAAGAAGTCCTTAAAGAGTTTCTGTATTCTTCCTTCCTAGCTAACTCAGTGTTGAGTGGAGACTTCTCACCAGGATTGCAGCATCATTCCTTCCTGTCCAAAAGCATCCTGCAACAAGTTCTGTGATCTTCTTTCCATCCTATCTTACAGAACAGTGCAATCCCAGTCTCTCTAGCATCTTCCCTAGTTACCTAGGACAACTCATCAAGAATCAAAGACTTTCTTACATCCCTCTTTGCCACATCCATGACAATTCTCCATGAATTTCCTCCTCTTCCTGTTCAATAAATGATTGCCCTTGCCCTT